CCTGGTCTGTAGGTATGGCCCAGAGAGCAAGATCCCAATCAATTAAGAGTCCCAGCAGCAACAGTATGTTTCGTTATGGAGTTAATTGACATAGTATTGAGTAAACAATAAGTTAAAATTGCATGTAAGTTCTTGACAACCTCCTGCGACTATTTCAATGACATTTTAACAATTGAGATGCATAACAGGTTTGGGGGGGGGAGTGGTTGCAGAGAAATCTCTCATACCTTGGTGAGGGGTACTTGTTCTTTGTGTTCCATCTAGCAGGGCATGTGTGAGTCCTTGATGACCTATCTTTCTTTGTTGTTCTCTGCTTATCTATTCCTATTTGTGTGTGCATGTGAGTGTGTGTGAATGTGTGTGTGTGTGTGTTGGGGGGTGGGGGGGGGGACGATGTTCAGGAGGAACCTTGTTGGTCATTATAGAGGGTGGAAGCCCAGAGCTGGAACTAGGTAAGGACTGGAGAAGGTTCCTCTCCCATTGTCCTGCAGAAGTTTATTGATCTTCTGGTTCTGATGACCGATCGTGGTTCCTGGCTGTTGTTCTGGTGACGTTGGTTCCTATGCGGAAGGACTCAGGCTTCTTCCATCTCATGTAGTTTGTCCAAAGGGAGGGGATGTCTGTCCTCTGGGTTCTCGGCATCCGGAGGCATTCCAGTTCCTCGTGTTCTCTTTGGCAGTTGTGATGACGTTCTTGGTGCCCGTTCTGATAGACCTTGGTGGGAGTCCGGGAGTCCTTATGGGTGGGATATAAGCCTCCTCCTGTCCCGCTGTTCTGCTCTGGGGTTCTCCCCTATTCTGTGCATACGACCTCCTGTTAATAGATTGTTTGGGTCGTTCTTAAGCATACTTTTGGAAGCCTGCCCCCATTGCTCAGATGAGTTAGACAAGGATCGGCATACATCAAGAACTGCAGCATAGGAAGAAGGGATCTCTTCCAGACAGACTTTTTTTTCAAGATGTGTCACTTCTGGTATTTTCTGCCAGTCTTCATATTTGTTGTTAGGAATATGGAACTATCCTCAGGTGATCTGTCCTCTTTGTTCACCAAATGTGGAGGAATGTTGGGAATAAACACCATTGTTTTCTTATGAATCCTAAGTGCAAGCGACTCACTGGTGTCTCTGGACAGTTGTATTTTATTTATGTCATTATTTGAAGGACTTGCTAGCTCCCATTATTGCTCTGTGTCCTGAAGTAGTTGAATCTCTCTTTATTCAGGTATGGCTATTGATTTTTTGACTGTATTTAATATTAAAAGTTGTAAATCCCCATGTGGTACAAGTGTTTCTCCATGACTATCTGGGCAAGCAGAAAAATGGTGGCTGTGCACCCTGGGAGACTCCTGGTGTTGCTGTTTTGTGCAGTGAACTAAACCACACCATTGCAGAGAAGGCACATCACATATTTGAACTGGCACGTGGTGGAAGTATTCAAACAAGCTGTAAAAAATATTATGCCATTTTAAAGTATTTTTGTCACAAATTCAATGTCAGCATTAAGTGCAGTGTTAAAATGTTGCTGTGCTGTGTGATGTAACACATTTTAAAAACATAGATGTGCTGATCTGTGTGAGTCATTTATTTGGAAGATGTGTTTGTTGTACCAGCAAGTCCAGTTAGAAAGTTCCATCTGTTCTAACTTCTTCCTGCTTCTGCCGTGGCGCCAGCTCCACTGATGTCATCTCAGGCCCACCACTGCCTGATTTTTCTCTTAGTGACAGCGATGGTCTCTTCTCACGTGCTCTGAATCTCCCTTTCGTTGCCGGGCTGCTCACCACATTTCTTCTCTTGCACAAAATCTGAAATGCCTCCCCACCTTGTTTTTTTAATCAGCTAGGGTTTGCCCAAGGACACAAAACCATTCGGAGTGACATGGACTAAGGGATTTGTGATAAGGATTAGGCGCCTCACAGCTGTAGGAGAAATTGGGGAAGAGAACTGAAGATCAGTTCACGAGAAATCCATCTGGCCATTTGACTACTGCATTCAAAATCACCAGACTAACAGTAGCTTCAACTGGGTCTGGAGCCAGGGGTGGCAGAGGCAAAGGCAGGGAGAAGGGTATTAGTTTATGAACTAGGGAAGGCAGCTTACTGCACTTCAAAGGAATTGTACTCATTCACATACAAAATGATTGTGGAAGTCCTTCCCTCTGAATTGTGAAATGCCTCTGAAAACAATATTCAAACAAAAATTGTCTCCAATAATGAGGCACATTGTTTAAAATATTTGTGAAAGTTATTTATACATGTTTTAAAATGGAGCGGTAGTGTAGCCTCTTTGTTGAGACACTCGCACACCCTATCAGAATATCTAGGTTCAATTCCCTACCCTGGCTCCTGATTCTGTCTTTCTGCCAGTGCAGACCCTGGGAGGAAGCCGGTGATGGCTCAAGAAGTTGGGATCCTGCCACTGGCAGGAGAAATCTGAATCGAGTTGATGAGTGCCAGCCCGGACTTGCCCATTGCTGTCTTATTTGGAAAGTGAATCAGCAGATGAGAAATCTCTCTCTTCCCCCCCCCCCCGCCCCCGCCCCCCAATGTGTTTGTACTACCTCTAGGATAAATACATAAAGTTTAGGATAGAAAAATAAGCACATCTTCCTTCTTCTATGTCAGCTGTTTCGCAACACTTTTATTCTATCCACTTATGCCTTTAATTTTTTGTTGTCTGTGTTTGGTATGTTTGTGCGAGGTGTTCCTTTTGCCAAGCTGTAATAGTGATAGCTCTGTAGCCTCAGTCTCTCATACTGTTTGAATTTCGCATTCAAAGCAGAGCAGAATATTCAGAAAATGCACTGATAGCCACCCCTCCTCCAGCTATTCTTGACACACTAGTTTCTGTGCAGGTCTGACCAATGCCAAAGCTTTCCAGACCAGATCTTCCTGAAGCCTGCATTTTTGTTGGTGGGCCCCACTGCCTGCGTAGCTGTGCCTTGTCACTCTCATAGTTCTTTATTTTCCTCTTTGTTCTTGCTCCAGTGGGAGACCACAAATGACCCCTGGTCTGTGTATAGAAAAGGGATCAGCTTTCAATCTCGATGCAGGCCAAAAGAGGCTCCCTAGCTACACAGTAACTGCAAGTTCCAGAGTCGTACTTCACCCCACTCACTGACATGCTCCAGCTGAGTGCGGTGTTGCCTACAGTTTGTTCTCTGATCTTTTCTTATCCTTTGAGTGTGACTTACACTGTGTGCGATCATAGGAAGTGCCAACCAGCTCGCCTGAGAGCTTTACAGGAATTTCCCAGAAGGGATGACATTTCTTAAGTGATTTCTTTTTTCTTTCTTTTTCTTTTTTTACAAAGTCTCACAGCTTGTGAGCTTGAAACATACCAACATTGCTCTTTCAAATAGACATCAATTGAATATGTAGCTTGGTACTTTTGTAGTAAAAGCGATGGTGTTTTATCAGTACATCCCAGTTCTGCTCCTCTGTGACTCTGGAGTATGTCTATAAAATCATCAGCTGGAAGGAAGGAAAGAACAAAGAAACCCAGAAGAAAGGCTGAATCTATTATTGATGGTGCAGCGATTTCATCACCTGGAGGAATCAGCTCTGCATTCCTTGTTCTCAGAAGCATTGGAATAAGGCATTGAACAGCGAGTTCCCAGGCACCATCAGTGGAAAGCATTGCTCTGTGTTGTGACTGTGGCATTGTGTGATTCTGCCATCAGATCCATCTTCCTCTCTCATGGCTGTCCTGAGAACTGCCTGGCTGATGCATGCCTGGCTTGCCAATTAGTACTACGTAACAAAATTTAACAGTATTGTTTGCTGCGAGGCCCAAAGATCTCAGTCTAAAGGTCTGACTCAATTACTTATGTGTTGTGGACTAATGAAGTACAGTACCTGGGTTCCAGATAGTTGCAGGGACAGGACATAAATTGGTCTATGACTCTGTTTCCTCCCACTTCTAACTTGACTCTCATTCTCTACTATGCATGTGTGGTACCCACGTCATTGCTCCCCCAGATCATCTCCCGTCTACTCAGCCAATTCCCATTACAAATGGATAGCCTAGAAAATACATAAGAGTTCTGAAAACTCGCATAACAAAGCTACTGGCTGCTGAAAATGAACTATATGCCAGTCACTGCACAAGTATTTTTCTGTGTACTATCTCCTTTCATTGAATTATTTTTAAAAGGATGTATTTCTTTATCTGAAAGCCAGGGTCACAGAGAAGGAGAAACAGAAAGAAATCTTCCTTATGTTGGTTCACTCCCCAGACAGGCCAAGCTAAAGCTGAGAGCCAGAAGCTTCATACAGGTCTCCCACATGGATGAAAGGGCCCTAAGCATTTGGACCATATTCCACTGCCTTTCCAGGTGTACTAGCAAGGAGATGAAGCCAAGAGGAGCAGCTGGGACTCCAACTGGCACCCAAAAGGGATGCCAACGTCACACATGGTGACTATGCCACAACACCAGCCCCTTTAAATTCTTAAGACAGCCTGGGAAACATGCAAGTTTATTCCAATTCACAGATGAAAAAAACTGGTGCTCAGAAAGTCAGAGAAGGCCTTCAAAGAGACGTGGAGAAAAGGAACCACCTCCGAGTGTCTTTTGCAGCAGTGGTTTGTCATGCCCTCAGTCCCCTGGTGGAGCTTTCCCACCATCCTAAAACGGTCTGCTCCGTGCGCTGCAGGAACCTGCCCACCCTACTGTGAATTTCATGTAGATATTCATCTGTATCCTTCTTAGCAGTGTCTTTTCCTCTATAAACCACATTCCTTCTTTGAGAAAATATGCTTTCAAATGAAATCACTGAAATTGGAGTTCTTGCCATCACTGTTAGAAACGATGAATACCAAGACGAAAGCATACAGAGGATAAAGAGGTCTTTGCTCCTTTTACAGACAGCAGATTTCAGTTTCAATGAATCAGTGACTCTCATTATGCCTAAGGATTTTTGCTTTTAAGCCCTTTGGATGATGTGCCCTAGAAATTAAAATCAATCAACAGTGGAAGAGGAGTCAATTTTTTCGCATTATTACTCCCCCCAGTGTTATTTTTTCAAAACCTGCTCATAACCCCCTACCTCAAGTTGCATTCTGGTTCATGATCTACAAGAGCCAACACATCAGAAATGTCCTCTCATTTTCTGTAGGGCCTGAATGCCTGGCCTTCAGTGGCCTTCAACAGAAAGTTGAAGTGAAACCATCAGTAGCCTCAGTACACTTAATTAATCTGAAAAATAACAAATTAAACAACACTGACATATGCCTAGCTTTGATGTAAAGTATTTTCTATGGGTAATCTTAAAGATAAAATGATTGTTGAATTATCCAAGAAACTATAGCTATAACCAATGAGAGCCAATGAAGTGGAAGAAAAATGTGAACTTAATGTAAGAAACACTTCCAGTAGATGAGATTAGGACTAAATCAGGTGGAGGCATCTCTGTGGGAGGAGTGGAGAACATTTAATACCGGCCATGTCACCTGGAGTTAAGATGAAGACAGACTTGATCTTTGGCAAGATGATGAGGAAGTGTCTCTAGTTTGACTGATTCACTTTATTGTACAAGTATATTTCACAACCTCCCTCCCCCGATATAGACAAATTTAATATATGTGCTAAATCTTCTGATTATAGAAATAGAGGTTAGCCTAGCAGTTAGACTGCCACATCCCACAATGGGAGTATGAATCCAAGCTTGGCTCCGGGCTCATCTCCTGCTGATGGAGACCCTGGAAGACAATGAGGCTGGCTCTGGTAATTGAGTACCTGCCATCCAGGTGGAAAATCTGGATTGAATCTTGACTTCCAGCTCTGGCCTAGTCCAGACTCATTCCTTGTAGGCATCTGAGGAATGAGCCAGCAGATGGGAGCTTCTTTGTCTATCTCTCCCCCTTCATCCCAACCACTTTGCTCTTGTATATATGAACAAAATTAAAGTTCTTTCTTTTACGATTGTACTGTTTTAGAATATCCGGCGGAGGCACTGTCAGAAATGTCTTCTTTAAGTGGGAAAGTCCAAACAGTTCTGGGCCTTATAGAACCAAGCAACCTGGGCCGCACCCTGACCCACGAACATTTGAGCATGACCTTTGACTGCGCTTATTGCCCACCTCCTACATGCCATGAAGTTATCTCTAAGGAACCCATCATCATGAAAAACTTATTCTGGCTTCAGAAAAACCCTTATTCTCATAAAGAGAACCTTCAGTTGAACCAGGAAATGGAAGCTATAAGGGAAGAACTGCTGCATTTCAAAGCCCATGGTGGCGGGGCCATGGTGGAGAACACAACTTATGGCATCAGCCGCAATGTGCAGGCACTCAGGTGGCTGGCAGAAGAAACTGGCGTCCACATCATCGCTGGAGCCGGGTTTTATGTAGATGCCACTCACACTCCGGAGACCAGAGCCATGTCGGTGGAGCAGGTAAAAGTCCTATGTTCTCTCACAGTGTTGTTTGTGCATAATTTCAGTAAGCAGAAACTTAGTTATGCTGGTAACTCTGATGTAGCTGCATGTGCTACAGAAATTGGCTCACAAGGGCATCTGCCAATGGGACCCAGATTAATAACATTTCATCAAGAAAAGAATGTTAAAGAAGATCTGAAAGCACTGGTCAATGAAAAATCCATAGTGTTAAAAATTCATTTGGCATTTATAGGACCAGGACTCAGTACTGGCAACACAATCCGTAAACCTCACTTATCCATTATAAGCCACAATTTCACAACCTCAATTTGCTACCTCCTCCACCAAGATTTCATCATATACAGCAATAAAAATTCACCATAGGATAGCAGGCTGGTACTTGGCACATTTGCAAGTATGTTTCCATGTCTTTTTTACAAAACAAGAGGGGTGGAAGAAAACCCAATGCCCTGTTTTTGTCATACTATGATCTTCAGCAAGATTGGGCAGAACGAAGTAAGCCTGCCAGGAACACAAAACGAAGAAGCGGCAAAGCATTTTTGCGCCTGCACGAGCTCTCTTTCAAAACACACGTGCACATGGTTATGCCTGTTTCCGTAGAGTTGTGTATATTCATGTGTGTCTTCTGTTGCTTGTTTGATAGACTTATGTCTATGGCAGTCTTTGCAAAAAATCAGTTAATCCTCAAAACACTTGATGTTTCCAAAATTTATCAGCATGATTTTCCAATGAAGGCTTTCTTTTAAAAATATATTTTGTGTTAATTGAAGATTAACACTAATGACCAGGATTATACATTCATCCAGCCACTTTAGGCCATAAATATTACATGTGAACAAAAATGCATAATTTTAGAATTGTGAACTTTTTAGAATAATTGTGAATCTTAAAACTGCTGTGAAGTTTCTATGTGGTACAGGATAAAGGACTAAATAAATAAGACAGATGAACAATTACTTGATTCAGTGTCACTGTATTTCAGATGTCACTCCTCAGATTAAATCATGGGTTATTTTTTTCCAACTTGAATGTATTTCCATTGTCACGTTTTTTATCCTCACAGCTTCCTAAAGCTGTGAATTTTTGTTAAATGACCACAGTAAAGCATCACAAAATCTCAGATTTATAATGCCTTCTTAAATTTGCAATTTTACCAGCAAAATACCTTTGTTATTGGCCACTGAACATTAAATGAATGTTGAGTATGTTTTTAAAATACTGTGTGATAAATAAGTAGATACACTCGTACACTGTGGAGGATCTGTTTTGATAAATCCTATAATCCAAAAACTGTGTTCATTTTCATGTTTCTTTAGCTTACTGATGTCCTTATTAATGAAATTCTACGTGGAGCTGATGGAACCAGCATCAAGTGTGGTGTCATTGGAGAAATTGGTTGTTCCTGGCCTTTGACGGAGAGTGAGAAAAAGGTCCTTCAGGCGACAGCTCAGGCCCAAGCTCAGCTGGGCTGTCCTGTCATTATCCATCCTGGACGGAATCCAAGTGCTCCCTTTCAGATTATCCGAATACTGCAAGAAGCAGGTGCAGACATCTCAAAGACAGTTATGTCACATCTTGATAGGTAAGCACACAATTGTGTGATTAATGTGTGTATCAAATTCAAGAAGCATCAGTCATCAGAACAATGGAATACAGATCACCTAGAGAAACCCATTAGCCTATCTGCAAGAGAGTGTTTATACATATTTACTATTAACAATAATAAAAAAATCAGCCCTGCTATTTTTATGTCCCAGTTTTACCGGAAGCACCCTTGGTATTTTACGTAATTCATTTCCCTTGATTTACTTAATCCTCCATAACTTTATAGAGCAGTTTGCCACTGTCTACTCCACTTCTGTGTGTCAAGGTCTAGCTTTCCAGGTAACTACCAGTTACACTTGGTGTTTGCTAGTAATTGGATATAAATTTACTTGCAAATATAAAGTCAAGGATTTTATCTTAAGAAGAAACCCACAAATACAGAGGTTCACGTGTTTGTCACCTTTTGTGGCCAGAATAATCTGGATATGGGGAAATGCAATTATAAAAAAGATAATAGCACATGTAGCATTTGTTTGGTGGTGTATGAGTATAAATGACCGTATGAGTAGAAGATAGCAAGTCTAACCATGTTGCAAGGCTAGCCATAAGCCTTTACACTGAAGCTATTAGAGGATCAACACCATACCAGTGAGATGAACAACATGTCACTTCTCTTTTTAAAAATATTTATTTGAAAGGCAAAATAATAGATAAGGAGAGAGACAGAGCTTTTTTTCATTGGCTGGTTTTACTCGCCAAATGGTTGCAACATCTGGGTCTGGGCCAGGCTGGATCCAGGAACCAGGATCTTAGAATCTTTCAACTGCAATCACACATCATTTAAGCAACATGCTATTTTCCCGGTAAGTGACATTATTTTGTTGTTGTAAAACATAAATGTCTACCGTTTTATTTGCCATTTTCCTTGTGTACCATTCTCTCTTGGATCTTAGTTCTTCATTATGGAATGATTAGCTTTTTCTCTGAATTATATCATTTGAAATTTATTTACTAAGGGTCCATGTTGTTGTAAATGTTTAGTTTTTGTTTGTCTGGAAATGTATTTATTCCTTCCTTCATAAAATAAGTGAGTTACTAGAAATTATTCATTCAAATGGGTCATTTTATTTACAATTTATTTTTCCTAAGCCCATTCAAAATAATTCCATTTTCATCTGATATACGTTGTTACTGTTGATAAGTCATCTGGGACTATTCTCTCTAATGTAATTCATCTTTTCTTTCTGGATGCTTTTATTTATTCATTTATCTATATGTTTTATTTGTTTTTATTTTATTTAAAAGGCAGCGGGGACAAAAAAAAAACTCTTTTATCTACTGGTTTACTCCCAAGGCTTACAACCTAAAACCAAGAGCACAGAACTTTATCTCTGTCTGTCATAAGTTGCAAGGACACAAGTACTTCAGTCATTGCGGGCTGTCTTGTAGGGTATGCTTTAGCAGGAAGCTGAAGTCAGGGACAAAAGTGGAACCCGGGCTAAGGAAGTCTGATGTGGAGTGGGGCTAGTGTTCCAGGGCTGTGCTGAATGCTGTGCTAAATGCCTGCCCCTTGAGATGTTTTTAACATAGAAATCTATCTCTGTACTCAGCATTTTCACTAGGATCTGCTTCCTCTGAGCTTCTTTTTATTGTGTGCTTGGTATAACATGGGGTTCATGAGTACGTGAATGTGTGTTTTGTCACTGAAAAATCTTAACCATCATCTCTTTGAATATTGTTGCACTCACCTGTTCTTTATTATTTGCCTCATAAACTGATGGCATATATGTAGGTCTTTCTTACCTGTCTTATTACCATCTCTTTCACAGTCTATCCATTTCCGTCTTTGAGCTGTACTTTCTTCAGTTTGGTATTTCTATTTACTAATTCTTTTTTCAACAGAATCATGTTTGAGCTTCCACCCTGTTCAGCCTGAAGCTCTACCTCACTTGGTCCATTATGTGTGCCCTGGCAAGGTTTAGCTCAGGGTCTTCCTGTACTTCTCATTTCTCCTGGTTTTCCTGTTTCTTGCCTTCAGCGAGTCTTACTTTTCCACCCACTGAACCAAGTATTTAAGCATACAATGTTTTGCTCTTTGGTTTTCTGCAATGTTTTCCATCCATGTGGGCTCCTGGAAAGGTTGTCTGTGAACATTTCATCTGCCACATTGCATGAAATTGGCTCAAGATGACTCTTCAAGAGGAATCCTTCAATTCCTCTCTGTTTGCATGTAGACATGTATGTTGGAAAATTATGCCTGGTATAAATAGAAAACAAGCTTTTATTGTAAATTGTGAAACAAACCTTAACTTATACCACAGTCCTGATATCTTGCTACTAAAAGCAGGCAATACAGAAACAATTAGTTTTTTATTTTCTGTCAACAGAGGCACACATCTCCACTATACCTATATTTATATATGTACACACACATACTTTTTCTTTCCAACAAAAAAGATATCTTGTCTGATGTTCAGTGGCTACAATTTCAATGTGTCTCTCTCAGATGACTCAGGATTGAATGGAAAAGTTGACCTGACCTCAGATAAGGTAAGGGTATCCTGGAAAACCCTGAGGCTATTGCTAGAACAACCACCTGTACTGCATCTGTACCAGTGGTACTTCCAAAAAGTCATGGCAACGTGGATGTAAAGTGTAAGTGGTGGGACTTGCATGTGCTGACTAAAGCCCTGCTTGGGGTGCCCACTTCCCATATAGCAGTGCCTGTGTTTGAGTCCCAGGGATGCTCATGTAACCATAGCGTCTTGCTGATGTGCACTCTGGGAGGCAGCAAATGAAAGCCCGAGTGACTGAGTTTCAGCCACCCATGGAGAGATGCCAGATTGAGTCTCAGGCTTCTGTCTTGCCTGGCCTCATCCTGGATGTTGTGGGCATGGAAGATGTGATTCAGTAAATGATAGATATCTGTGTCCATCTCTCCTTTTTATTTTCACTGTGTCTCTGCTATCCAAATAATTTTTATGCTTTTACTTATTAATAAACAACAAATTTCATGAATTTCATAGGTGCAATTCCAAGAATACAATGATGCTTGTCTCCCTTCCTGCCTCCTCCTTCATTTCCTTTTTCTCCTTTTTATTTTTTACAATAATATAGTTCCAGTTGACATCACAGTCACATGCTCGGTGCTCCTCTAAACCAAGAGCTCTACAAGTAAAAAGTAGATGGAGCACTGTCCCACAGAGGTATAGACGAGGGTTATAGGCTAAAATCAAGCCACAAGTTATCTCTTCAGCTCAGTATATATTAACTTTTTCATTTGTTTGCTTTTTGGACTCTGCATATTACTACACCCAATTAGAGAATATATGATATTTTTTCTATTTGGGGTGTACCTCATTTCACAAAGTGTAATGATCTCAAGTTTGCATCCTTTTATTGCCAAGGCAGGACTGCATTCTTTTTTTTACGTCTGAGCAGTAGTCTGTAGTGTATATGTGCCACATTTTCCTTATCCAGTCATCAGTTGGATTTTTCTGGGTTCATTCCATATCTTAGCTATTGTGAATTGAGATGCTGCAAATATGGGAGTGCAAATAACTCTCTCCTATGTTGATTTCATTTCATCTGGATGAGTTCCCAAGAGTGGGATGGCTGGATCATAAGGTAGATCTATTTTCAGATTTCTTAAAAATCCCCAGCCTGTCTTCTACGATGACTCTATTAATGTACATTCCCACCAAGAGTGCATTAGGGCAACTTTTCCTCCACATCCTCACCAGTCATTTTTATTTTCTGATTTTTGAATACTAGCCATTCTAAATGGGGTTAAATGAAACCCCACTGTGGATTTTATTTGCATTTTCCTAATGGCTACTGATCCTGAACATTTTTTCAGGTATCTGGTGATAATCTGCATTTTTTCCTTTGAAAAATACCCATTCATGTCCTTCACCTATTTGTTAGCTGGACTGACGTTGTCGAGTTTCTTGAGTTTCTTACATATCCTAATTGTTAATTCTTTATCAGATGCGTAGCTTGAAAATATCTTCAGCCATAGTTTCAGTCGCTTTTTCACTTTGTTGAGTGTTTCTCTTGCTGTTCAGAAGCTTCTTAGCTTGATGTAATCCTATTTGTCTATTTTTGCTTTAATTGCCTGTCCTTCTGGAGTTTTATAAAAGATGCTAATTTTGGTACAAAAATTGTTTTAATCCATGCATAGCTCTTCATATTATGCAATCCTGTAAACTCTTACAAGAGCCTTCATCTGCGGAGATCCAAAGTGGGTTTTTGTATCAAAATTCATTTATCTTTTAGTTCTGTTTTCCACAGACTTTTTTTAAAGTACCCTCATATAATAGATTGTTTAAGAGTCCAGTGTCTGGAAAAGAAATATCTGGAAGTATGAGAATTGTGGGGGGGGGGGCAACTGGGGGAAAATGACTTTGGGGAAAAAAATGGCATATTTGGAAAAACAAACTGAATAAAGTAACATAAAAATAATAATCATGAAGGCAGATTTAGACAGTGTCAGCTCTATGAGGTAACTATTCACAGTAAGCCAGTGGCCAGGCTGAAGGTGGACTGGGTCAGCCTTTCACAGCCTCTCTGAGGTCTGCTGGGTGGGTGGAGCACACAGTCTCATCTGTGCTGAAAGGGCAAGGACATCAGCTTTGTGTAACTGGGATGAATCACAAAAGGGAATGTGTTTCACGCCACAAAACACAGAGGGCAGATAAAAAGCAAAGCACATCCCTGAAACATGGCCTCAAAAAGAAAACAATACAGAACAGAATCATTTCATTTCTCCCACCGTGCCTGTTTGGACAAAAGAAGAGGGTTCTGCAGCCACAGGCTGTTGTGGTTGTGAGGTAATCAAGTGGTGGTGGCTCTGTCCCATGTCCCTTTGTACAGCAGTGGGCTGCTCTAACAATACTGACCCTCACCCTTCCCATGTTATGGAGAGTGAAAAACCATTTGCCCATCATTCGAAAATACAGAAGTGAAATTGTTCAGTGCAATCACAGTTATGAAATAGCTTAATGTTTTGGCAAATATGTAAAATCTTTATTATGA